GCCACTTCTCTCCCCTTATTCGATACCAACTGATTTCCCTAATTGTAAGAGTTTTAGGGGGAGACGAAGGCACTTTAGGCAACCACCTCTTCTTCGTACACGAAACGAATTTTAACATGGACGTCAAAGTCTATCGTACTGTGATCTCACGGTTGAATAGACTTACCGACCTTTGAGAAGATGCTGCACAGTGAAGATGAATCCTTAATGTCAATCTTCCCATCGCTCTCTACTGTTTTACCCATCAACAGGAAAAAAACCATACAGTCATGGGTATACGATTTCCCTTGCAAACATTTATTCCTCCTATTTAGACACAAGTCAAGGGAAACATTAGCCAAACATGGAACTCAAATAAACCAGTTGTTCGGAGACAAGAAGAGGCGTCACAGATGTCCTGAACCTTTTCCATTCGAGCTAAGGCGTCGAACGCGCAAATGTAGCAGGAGGATGGAGTCCAAACGTGCAAACTGAAGCAGGTTTTCGGTCCCTTCTGATTTCACTAGTTTAACATCAAACAGATTGTATGTCGTGTGTAGCTTGTCAAGTGACTCAGATGGAGGGGTCAAAGTCCCAAAATCCCTCTGTTATATTATTTACTTCAGCTCCACTCTGCACGGTACAAAGGCGACAGAAAATTATGCTACATAACCTTAAGGGTCAGTGTACATTATTCGGTCCTCTCCTGTTACTACGTAAGATGCCAGTGGAATTCGTTTGGTGGGATAACCAAGAGGTGTCACATATACCAGTCGACAGCTTCACAGGCACTACTGAGCACCACCTGCTCGAGTATCCAAGTTGCAAGTGTTTTGGCGACTCATGGAGGACACAGGAACCCCAGAGTTAGAAGTATCAGGAAAGTTCAGCAAAATTTCACTCCGTAATATTGTTTGTTAAAATCTTACACTGCTTGAAGAAGTAGCCTTGAAACGTGTAGTTACTCACTGTCCTCCGAGGCAGGAGATGGGCTAAGATCCAAGTTCCCACAAACTTAAGTAGTTTGTCTTGAAGTAGTGCACAAATTATTACACAGTATAACCCATCTTTAAATTCCTCCTGGAGGATACACGTTCGGAATAAGTAGTTCAAGGAGATACTACTTGTAACAACAACAGGATATGTCGCACCGCTAAGCTTATATAAGGTGACCTCATCCAACTGTCCTAAGCATGACCAGGCTTTCACCTCATCTTTGTTCAGCATCCCAGTTCAGTCAGCCACTTTCCACATTTGTCATGAAACAATTTGCATACTCACTTTACCATTAATGAGGGGCTCTACTCTCCTCACCTGTACTGTTTTATTTCACAGGCATTCTGCATTCCGAAAATCCAGAAAAGGTCACCTTTTGCATTTGATGGATGCAACTTCGAGGCCCACATGACCTACTGAGAAATATGGTTGATCATTGCTATGCCACCTGTGTCACCATCCTGAATATTATATCCACCCAATGCATCTATTTGTCAATCTGGCGACCTTTATGAGTTTTGTGTAACCATAGTGAGTAGATTTACCTGATGAGGCCTCTGCGCCATGCCATGGTCAGTACCATCGAGTCAAGTATGCAGCTAGTAGAAAAATCCATTCGTCTAGCACCTTCAGAGGTGACGATCTCGACTACTGGGCACCCCGCCTAAAGTAGCTAGGGCTATTTCCAGATTAATAGTAAACTTTGAAGTTCGATGTTATTGCTATGCGGCCTTAGGTCCTGTCCATTTCCGTCTTTGTTTGCAGACGCATATGAGTAAGCAGGGTGGGGGTACGACGCTTGTGCACGTGACATCAGACAGCAGATAGCTGGGTGGCTAATGGACAGCGTAGGATACCGGATGGCCTCCACCTCCGTTTTACGCATTTGCAGTATTTTAATTGGCCTTGAACTTGGAATTTCCCTAACAGTGACATTTTATTCCCCTATTTAGGTTCAAACGATATGAAATATTACCGGCCATAGAACTCAAATGAACCATTTTGGGAAAAGAAAATGAAGGCACAGGTATGGATAAACTTGCTCATTCGAGTCGGAGTAGCAGAATGGGGTCCAAGCTTTCAAATTTAAACAGGTTTACAGTCCCTTCGGAAGTCTATATTTTAACATCAAAGAAACCGATTGTTGTGCATGGCTTGCCGAGTGACTCCGACAGATTGTCAGCGAGGGCGACCAGGGTCAAGCTCCCAAAGCCTTTCGACCATGTTATTTACGTCAGCGGCACTGCGCACGGCACAAAGCATGCCTAAGTTTTCATAATGGGAGAGACCACAAAACCATGCGGTAAATCCACCTTCCAGTATAAATTACTATCTCTTCTCCTGCTATCATGTAGAATGGCTGTGAAATTCGTTTGAAGAGGTAACTGAGATTTGCCTCCTAAATGTTTTTCACTTGATACAGTCGACATCGTCACAAGCACAACTGCGAACAAACCGCTCCACTCCTCACGCCGCAAATAATTTGGCGGCTGATGGAGGACACAGGGCTCCATGGTGTCAACAGTTTTAAGCAAGTTCAATTAAATTTCACTTTAGTTTTTTGGTGAACAATTCCACAAACGTGCGTTTGCTGACGGTCCTCTGCCTAGCAGACAGAAGAGGGAGGATGAGTTAAGATCCAAGGTTCCACGAAGCAAAGCGGTTCCTTCGCCTCGACCTATTAGAAAAGGGATACTCGCATATGCAATCGCCTAGTGTAACTCGTCACTCTTGTTCCTCCTGATGAAAGCATAATACGTTATGTGTTCCCTCCGCACAAAGGATCTCCTTTTGCCTACCAAGTCCTACAATTGTTGACTGGATGTGTGGGACCGACCACTTTGCAAAGACTACTTGTCTATGCCATCGAATTGTCTGCGCTACGCATCACACCAATTCCTCCATCTTGACTGACCTAGTTTTTCTCTTCCTGTCACTTTTCTGAGCCACGAAATGATGCTTACGATCAAATCAGGGTCTATAGCGAATTGTCTATTTCCAAATTTCTAATGGAAAAGGTGAATCGGATTTCCGATGACAGTTAACAATTTGAGTCACAGCTTTTAACAATCGTCACTGTCACCTTATGCAGTCGGCTCAAGAGACATTGACCACCAACCCACAAAACAGAATTTAGCTGTTATCAAGCCTACAGTGGCATAGATAGTACTCTTCATTGCGTAGCATGGAAACGCCTTAGGGAAACTCGTTCTCTAGACGTGAATCCGGTGACAGGAAGACTTCGGTTCCCGAAATGGAGAAAATATTGGGAGTTTGGACAGTGGTTACAATGGAAAATCGGACGATTGGTTGGAGCTCCCTTACCTTCCACGTAGAGCGCCAACTCATTCTGTGCATTGAATAGCCAAATCAAATGACCTTCCCTGCTGTGGTGACCGCTGGAGGTGAAGGCCTCAACGTGCATTCCAGCACAAAAAGTGCAGCCATTGACACCCACAATGCATACACCAGTGAACTGATGGCTGATGCGTTGGCAAGTGTGCTGAAAGTCAGAGCCTGCACATTGTACTTTTCCATTTAAGTCACCATCTACATCATCTTGCATCACTACCATCGATATACACAAAAATATTTGGTATTGAGACAATAAACAAACGTAAAAAATTATCCACAGGTACCACAAATTAGCTAGCCCTATTGGGAACAAATACAAATTCATTATATTATGTATAAGCAAAGATTCCATTTCAAAGGACACACCTCACACAAGTCAGGATATAACAGATCAAATATGCAGACAATTAAGCCAAGGATGGAGGAAGAGTGTAGTGCATGGAAGGGTATTTGGCCACAAAGGTGAAATGAATGCCGGGTTTTTGTCCTGTGCCCATGGACAACTTGCAATCGCTCGTTGAGAAGGGATCTGCGTTTCACTGTTTGAATGCAAACGGTAGCACTTCACTCGCCTCTCTCTCGCTGCTCAGTCTGAACTGCCCCTTCCTGTGCAATAGGCTAGTTCCCTTATTTGCTTCAAGATTTGCCGCTTTGATCAACTGAATACCACTGAGAGGCCATCAATGCAGGTGACTTAATTGCAGTAGATGTCGTTCGAGGTTGGACCACCACTGATGGATACTTCCATGCGCTTAAGTGGATCAAGGCCCACTCTGTTGACGCCTGCAGGGTAATGAATATCAGCCTATGAAAACTGGACGAGAAGTTTGACTGAAGAACTCGCTCCCCTTTATTCATAAGAAATGCCAGTAAAAGAAGACATTCATTCCATCAAAGCGACAACATCGGAGTTTCATTTGGAGTGTTGAATGGAATCTCAGTGTTATAGTCATGGCTACGTAGTGGGTGCCGACCTCAATTACAATGATTCTGGTGTAGGTGCTTCCACAGAAGAGAAATACTTCAACATCTTTCTCACCATCCTTGATCTAGCATCCGGAATTTGTCAAAATATAGTGCGTATTTGATAGACTGTCCGCTGTGGGTCTCTTTGCATTCACCCAGCAAAGACAGTTCCTTTCCATCTAGGATATTTAATGTTGGCATCCAGCAGCCTATCACATAATTATTGCGGATTTGAATCAGGTTGGCCTACAGGTCCCAGCAACATAACGCTCCACATTAGCCCGTAAGCATTAAGGAATATCATACGGAAACGCAACAGACATGAAAGGGAACCCTCGGTTGCCTAAGTGACGACCAAATTGAGGGGTCCCAAAGACAAAGGTAGCTTCAGGAGCCCAGTATCATCTATGGTAGAATATGATCCTTGTGACTTTCTACATAAATATTCCACCATGGTTACCACTATCCTCAGTTATGTACAAATGTCAGGCGATTCCCACCCACCTCTCGCGATTCTGTACTCCCGTAGGCATTCCGAACACATTTTACAATGTCAAATGTCATAAAGTGCCAGTTACATGCTTGTTTAGACTGCCAAATATAAATGGAGACTACTCTCTTTGAGCTAATGACCGCTTTTGAAATCTGTGTTTAAATTTCAGGAGAATAATTGATAGTACAAAAACGTTCAACTGGACTCCTAAATGACTGAGTACTACGAAGTCGACAGAATCAAGATTGATGACGCCTCTCTACTAGTTGATAAGAAAACCAACGACAGGGTGATTCCAAACGGTGAAGGGAATGATGGAGTGAAGATGGATGCGAGTGGCGGTTGCGAATGCGACAGTTCTGGTGCAAGTGGTTCCACAGAAGAGGAAATTTCTCAGAAGCTCTCTTTCTGAAGCTGCTGCTTTCTTCAAGGCAATTTGGCCAAAGTATGACCAGTAATACACCTTATCTTTGTTTATTTCTCTCTCCTGTGTACATTCAACATCATAGTTTTATTTGTAACTTCCCACCTCTGCCATTAATTAAGTGGTCTTTAAATCTGGGTCTTTGAAATAGGCCTCTGAGTCGCAGTCGGCCCGGAGAAATGGGCAAGATCATCGTGAATGGGAGTTAACCCAGCTATTTACAGATGAAACGCCATTCATTCATTCTCCATGTCAATGAGGCACAGTGCATACATGCCATTTAATGGTATCCACTCCTTCCCAACGTGGTTCCCATCTTTTGGACATAGAAGACGTCCACTTTACACCTATTCTAATGTTGTAATGCTCCCACTGAATGAAGTCTAATTAGTTACGCTAATTTAGTAGTAGCACCTCTTCAGCTACCATGGCGAAGTGAGTAGGATGATTTTAATGGAAATGATGTGGTCAAATCGACCAGAACCTGCGCCAAATACGCTTGGAGGTGAGCGCTCAATCCTGCGACAACACCGCAGTAGCTGCAGGCCGCAGATCGAGTGACTGGACGCTCAACCAACTGTCAAGCACTGAATGGTATTGTCGTCTTGCATCACTGTGTGACGTCATCACAGACCTCCGAAGTCACCTTCAGGATCTCGCTGCCATTCCTGCCATGGTATCCCTCCTCCTCACATCTGTCAGTTGGTAGTCTGGAAACTGTTGACGGGGTTATGGTTTGATGAAGAAGTAAAAATGAGAAGAGTCGGGATTTTTTACGACATTTCCACCTAGTTAGTAGTCATTTGATCAGTTGAGCTTAGTTTTTGGAGGTTCTTTCCCAAAAATCTGTTCATTTCAATTCTGGTATTATTTGAGAGCTAATGAGTCAAGCAATTCACACTCCATCCACTGTGTGATTGAAGGGCTTGCGAGGCAAGCAGTGTAAATCGCACAACCCGTTAGCTTACTAAAAAACATAGAAGGTAAAACTTGAAAATCCATCTCCCCGATTGCTGGAAATTGAATTAACAACTCTTTTGGCCCTTTGCGTCCGGTGAGTGATCCAGTATCTGCCGACTTCCAGTATCATGATGGAGTGGACCCCATTTCACTGATTAAACTGGTAATGTAGTAAAGACCCTCCGGCAACGCCTAATTCAATGCGGGCCGGAAACCAGGGGAATGGACGTTCAACAAACTAGTGCGCACTGAATGGGATTATCGTCTTGCATAACTGTGCGACGTCCTCACAGACCTCCTTCAGGATCTCGTTGCCATTCCTGCTAAGGCATCCCTCCTCCTCACATGTGTGTTCCAGTAGACTGCATACTGTTAGCGAGGTTTTAATTTGCAAGTCAAATAGAATGGGAAATGTCCATAATTTTAGTCCCTATGCCCACCTAATTTGTAATCTGTTGGTCAGTTGAAGTTGGTTTTCGAATGTTATTCCTGTAGATCACCATCTGTTGCGTGGCAAACAACAGATTGGTTAAGGATACTTTCACAATTGCAGAAGACTTCAAATTGAGCAGTCTTGCTCCGTTGCATCTTCTCATTCAGCCTGGACACTGTAACTGATCCAGATTTACTTTACTTCTAGCAGCATGACAGCATGAAAACCCACTTCTACAGACTAAACTACTAAGGTAGCGAATGCCAAGTGAACTAAATCGACTGTCGCTGCTCCGGCGGTGTTTATGTGCACCTCTGTTTATATTCCACGACTAATTAAGCAACCGGACTTTTGCTTAAAGGATGTTAGTTCCAAACCTGGCACCGAAACGTACAATTACGTCGCACTTGCATCTCGATGACAGCTGTGCATTGAAAGCCAGCCCACCTCATGTCTCAAGGTCTGTAGGAAAAATGTGGCAAGTGTTGTGTGAAAACGCCATTTTATGCACAAAGTGTGAATAACCGAATGAACACCCAACATGCTGGATGCTGTCGTCACGAGGCAGGATGCATTGAGGGTGTCTACATGCCTTCTGTGAAAATATTTGGCTCTAGAAACTTCAGACGTGACCACCTCAACTGCCGGCCACCATTCTAAAAATAGCAAGTCCCATTATTTATCGTTTTCTGCATCCTTAATCTGCTAGACATATGTCACGCTTACATCTACGCTTTATTGCCAGGTATTGTTACTACGCCATGGTTTTTATGTACGTCGGCTAGGTTACTGTCCGATCCCGCCCCTTCATATCCTGTCCAGCTCTGATGCAGCCTTTGTTCAGGCGTCTTTGTTTGCCAAGGCGTATGGATGAGAAAGCTGGGGTACGACGTTTGTGCACGTGATTGCTGATTGCTGGGTGTTTGCTAGTGTACACCTCAAGATACACAGGACGGTCTCCACCTCCATCTCGCGCATTTGAAGTATTTTAATTGCCCATAACCTTGGACTGGACCTTATAGGGCGTGAGTGCCAGGTTTTGGCCACAAATTGAGGAACTTTTAGTCAATGAGAAAAGGAAAGTTTTGTGAGTTAGCGGGCATGTCCAACAAAAATGATGCCTTTGTAATTATTCAAAACATAGTAATAACCAACGATTACTTAATGAATTGAACTGTGTAGGTGTTTTAAGTCGCGGTTATTGCCACATGGGTACCTCTAGGTGCGTTCGAGTGGTGGTATAAAGGCATTCAGGGTGACACCATTTGCACCACTTGTAACGAGATTTCAAGCTCTGTGATGTTAAATGCTGTGATTTTTCCATTTTCACAGGCAAAAAATTCCCTAGATGGATCGACTCTTCGTCTGCAGCAGTCCTGGTCAGGCAGATGCGACCTCACAAGATCCGAGAAACATTCTTATCACCTTGATTTAGAGGGCCAAATTTTAGGGTTGAAGAATGCTGACCAGAATCAATGTGTCAGCATGACTGTGGACGAGATGGACGAGGTACTTTTTCACAAACAATACGACGAACAGTGGCAGTCAGTACAATTAGTTGACCACCAAATACCAAAAATACCATCTAGAAAGGGGCAGTTTTGGAATGAAGGTCGGTATAGGTGATGAAACAACTTACACCTTATCTTTGGGAATACCTTAGAATTTTCAAATCCAATGCTGCAACTATTGTCTGTAACCACAGGAGGCAATGGTTTCACCTACGGCCTTGCCTTAAAGACGATCTGTTGCGTTTGCATGGACAGAAGAACGGTGATGGTGGAAACGAGAAGGAGGAGAAGAGGCCCAATGTAATTATTTGCGCTTTCCATCGATGGGTTGTAGCCCAGGATGTAGGTAAAATCAGCGCTGGGAGACAATGTCACATGTGCTACCAAAAAGCTCGTCAAAGGAGTGCATGCTCACACTATTTCGCTAGGGTTCGGTGAAGGCACAACCCACATGGTACATTTACATAGATTTTCCTGCAACTCGAAAAAGTGAGATGTTAGGGTAGGTGCAACGAAGCCTGCATCTAGCGATTCACTACTTCATATCACTGACTCCATTGTGGGGGCAGGAGGACATGAAGCCTTACACATGGGGAGCAGCGTTGATCTAGTCGGTAAGGGAGTAGGTTACTGAAAGTAAAATATTCTCTGTGGTAAGGGTTTAATTTGTTGGCAGAAGATACGAGACGAAGGGACTGATACTTGTCCGTATACAGATGCTCAAGAGGCCCAACAAGCTTATCCGGTTACCATATCAGTGCAGTGAGTCAGACACACGCCATTAATGGGCACTTTGGAAGTAAAATCTTAAAATTCGCTCAAGACTTAATCAACTGGTTCTTGATAAACGTGTGCGAAACCCAGCAAGTTCTTGTCAATTCTAAGTGCACTCCATTTTAATTGAAAGTCCTCTTTTTTGACACAGAAGCTGGTGAGCATTCCCTCTTCATCGGCCACAGCTTAGCCACTTCGGTTCTTCTTTAGCTCCATGTTCCCAAGGCGTTCAAAGTGATATGAACACTTTATAGCCATGTTATTTGTGTCCATTCACACATCAAATTACGAAGAATAAATATTAAAGGTGAGACTGACACGTCAATCAGTTCAGGACACCACCTTGACTAAGATATGATTCAATAAGGATTGCAAATTCCACAGACATTGCTTGAACGTCTTCTACAAAGTTGTTTTCTTCTCCAGGTTGGATAAGGGGTAGTGAATTTGCCACTTCTCTCCCCTTATTCGATACCAACTGATTTCCCTAATTGTAAGAGTTTTAGGGGGAGACGAAGGCACTTTAGGCAACCACCTCTTCTTCGTACACGAAACGAATTTTAACATGGACGTCAAAGTCTATCGTACTGTGATCTCACGGTTGAATAGACTTACCGACCTTTGAGAAGATGCTGCACAGTGAAGATGAATCCTTAATGTCAATCTTCCCATCGCTCTCTACTGTTTTACCCATCAACAGGAAAAAAACCATACAGTCATGGGTATACGATTTCCCTTGCAAACATTTATTCCTCCTATTTAGACACAAGTCAAGGGAAACATTAGCCAAACATGGAACTCAAATAAACCAGTTGTTCGGAGACAAGAAGAGGCGTCACAGATGTCCTGAACCTTTTCCATTCGAGCTAAGGCGTCGAACGCGCAAATGTAGCAGGAGGATGGAGTCCAAACGTGCAAACTGAAGCAGGTTTTCGGTCCCTTCTGATTTCACTAGTTTAACATCAAACAGATTGTATGTCGTGTGTAGCTTGTCAAGTGACTCAGATGGAGGGGTCAAAGTCCCAAAATCCCTCTGTTATATTATTTACTTCAGCTCCACTCTGCACGGTACAAAGGCGACAGAAAATTATGCTACATAACCTTAAGGGTCAGTGTACATTATTCGGTCCTCTCCTGTTACTACGTAAGATGCCAGTGGAATTCGTTTGGTGGGATAACCAAGAGGTGTCACATATACCAGTCGACAGCTTCACAGGCACTACTGAGCACCACCTGCTCGAGTATCCAAGTTGCAAGTGTTTTGGCGACTCATGGAGGACACAGGAACCCCAGAGTTAGAAGTATCAGGAAAGTTCAGCAAAATTTCACTCCGTAATATTGTTTGTTAAAATCTTACACTGCTTGAAGAAGTAGCCTTGAAACGTGTAGTTACTCACTGTCCTCCGAGGCAGGAGATGGGCTAAGATCCAAGTTCCCACAAACTTAAGTAGTTTGTCTTGAAGTAGTGCACAAATTATTACACAGTATAACCCATCTTTAAATTCCTCCTGGAGGATACACGTTCGGAATAAGTAGTTCAAGGAGATACTACTTGTAACAACAACAGGATATGTCGCACCGCTAAGCTTATATAAGGTGACCTCATCCAACTGTCCTAAGCATGACCAGGCTTTCACCTCATCTTTGTTCAGCATCCCAGTTCAGTCAGCCACTTTCCACATTTGTCATGAAACAATTTGCATACTCACTTTACCATTAATGAGGGGCTCTACTCTCCTCACCTGTACTGTTTTATTTCACAGGCATTCTGCATTCCGAAAATCCAGAAAAGGTCACCTTTTGCATTTGATGGATGCAACTTCGAGGCCCACATGACCTACTGAGAAATATGGTTGATCATTGCTATGCCACCTGTGTCACCATCCTGAATATTATATCCACCCAATGCATCTATTTGTCAATCTGGCGACCTTTATGAGTTTTGTGTAACCATAGTGAGTAGATTTACCTGATGAGGCCTCTGCGCCATGCCATGGTCAGTACCATCGAGTCAAGTATGCAGCTAGTAGAAAAATCCATTCGTCTAGCACCTTCAGAGGTGACGATCTCGACTACTGGGCACCCCGCCTAAAGTAGCTAGGGCTATTTCCAGATTAATAGTAAACTTTGAAGTTCGATGTTATTGCTATGCGGCCTTAGGTCCTGTCCATTTCCGTCTTTGTTTGCAGACGCATATGAGTAAGCAGGGTGGGGGTACGACGCTTGTGCACGTGACATCAGACAGCAGATAGCTGGGTGGCTAATGGACAGCGTAGGATACCGGATGGCCTCCACCTCCGTTTTACGCATTTGCAGTATTTTAATTGGCCTTGAACTTGGAATTTCCCTAACAGTGACATTTTATTCCCCTATTTAGGTTCAAACGATATGAAATATTACCGGCCATAGAACTCAAATGAACCATTTTGGGAAAAGAAAATGAAGGCACAGGTATGGATAAACTTGCTCATTCGAGTCGGAGTAGCAGAATGGGGTCCAAGCTTTCAAATTTAAACAGGTTTACAGTCCCTTCGGAAGTCTATATTTTAACATCAAAGAAACCGATTGTTGTGCATGGCTTGCCGAGTGACTCCGACAGATTGTCAGCGAGGGCGACCAGGGTCAAGCTCCCAAAGCCTTTCGACCATGTTATTTACGTCAGCGGCACTGCGCACGGCACAAAGCATGCCTAAGTTTTCATAATGGGAGAGACCACAAAACCATGCGGTAAATCCACCTTCCAGTATAAATTACTATCTCTTCTCCTGCTATCATGTAGAATGGCTGTGAAATTCGTTTGAAGAGGTAACTGAGATTTGCCTCCTAAATGTTTTTCACTTGATACAGTCGACATCGTCACAAGCACAACTGCGAACAAACCGCTCCACTCCTCACGCCGCAAATAATTTGGCGGCTGATGGAGGACACAGGGCTCCATGGTGTCAACAGTTTTAAGCAAGTTCAATTAAATTTCACTTTAGTTTTTTGGTGAACAATTCCACAAACGTGCGTTTGCTGACGGTCCTCTGCCTAGCAGACAGAAGAGGGAGGATGAGTTAAGATCCAAGGTTCCACGAAGCAAAGCGGTTCCTTCGCCTCGACCTATTAGAAAAGGGATACTCGCATATGCAATCGCCTAGTGTAACTCGTCACTCTTGTTCCTCCTGATGAAAGCATAATACGTTATGTGTTCCCTCCGCACAAAGGATCTCCTTTTGCCTACCAAGTCCTACAATTGTTGACTGGATGTGTGGGACCGACCACTTTGCAAAGACTACTTGTCTATGCCATCGAATTGTCTGCGCTACGCATCACACCAATTCCTCCATCTTGACTGACCTAGTTTTTCTCTTCCTGTCACTTTTCTGAGCCACGAAATGATGCTTACGATCAAATCAGGGTCTATAGCGAATTGTCTATTTCCAAATTTCTAATGGAAAAGGTGAATCGGATTTCCGATGACAGTTAACAATTTGAGTCACAGCTTTTAACAATCGTCACTGTCACCTTATGCAGTCGGCTCAAGAGACATTGACCACCAACCCACAAAACAGAATTTAGCTGTTATCAAGCCTACAGTGGCATAGATAGTACTCTTCATTGCGTAGCATGGAAACGCCTTAGGGAAACTCGTTCTCTAGACGTGAATCCGGTGACAGGAAGACTTCGGTTCCCGAAATGGAGAAAATATTGGGAGTTTGGACAGTGGTTACAATGGAAAATCGGACGATTGGTTGGAGCTCCCTTACCTTCCACGTAGAGCGCCAACTCATTCTGTGCATTGAATAGCCAAATCAAATGACCTTCCCTGCTGTGGTGACCGCTGGAGGTGAAGGCCTCAACGTGCATTCCAGCACAAAAAGTGCAGCCATTGACACCCACAATGCATACACCAGTGAACTGATGGCTGATGCGTTGGCAAGTGTGCTGAAAGTCAGAGCCTGCACATTGTACTTTTCCATTTAAGTCACCATCTACATCATCTTGCATCACTACCATCGATATACACAAAAATATTTGGTATTGAGACAATAAACAAACGTAAAAAATTATCCACAGGTACCACAAATTAGCTAGCCCTATTGGGAACAAATACAAATTCATTATATTATGTATAAGCAAAGATTCCATTTCAAAGGACACACCTCACACAAGTCAGGATATAACAGATCAAATATGCAGACAATTAAGCCAAGGATGGAGGAAGAGTGTAGTGCATGGAAGGGTATTTGGCCACAAAGGTGAAATGAATGCCGGGTTTTTGTCCTGTGCCCATGGACAACTTGCAATCGCTCGTTGAGAAGGGATCTGCGTTTCACTGTTTGAATGCAAACGGTAGCACTTCACTCGCCTCTCTCTCGCTGCTCAGTCTGAACTGCCCCTTCCTGTGCAATAGGCTAGTTCCCTTATTTGCTTCAAGATTTGCCGCTTTGATCAACTGAATACCACTGAGAGGCCATCAATGCAGGTGACTTAATTGCAGTAGATGTCGTTCGAGGTTGGACCACCACTGATGGATACTTCCATGCGCTTAAGTGGATCAAGGCCCACTCTGTTGACGCCTGCAGGGTAATGAATATCAGCCTATGAAAACTGGACGAGAAGTTTGACTGAAGAACTCGCTCCCCTTTATTCATAAGAAATGCCAGTAAAAGAAGACATTCATTCCATCAAAGCGACAACATCGGAGTTTCATTTGGAGTGTTGAATGGAATCTCAGTGTTATAGTCATGGCTACGTAGTGGGTGCCGACCTCAATTACAATGATTCTGGTGTAGGTGCTTCCACAGAAGAGAAATACTTCAACATCTTTCTCACCATCCTTGATCTAGCATCCGGAATTTGTCAAAATATAGTGCGTATTTGATAGACTGTCCGCTGTGGGTCTCTTTGCATTCACCCAGCAAAGACAGTTCCTTTCCATCTAGGATATTTAATGTTGGCATCCAGCAGCCTATCACATAATTATTGCGGATTTGAATCAGGTTGGCCTACAGGTCCCAGCAACATAACGCTCCACATTAGCCCGTAAGCATTAAGGAATATCATACGGAAACGCAACAGACATGAAAGGGAACCCTCGGTTGCCTAAGTGACGACCAAATTGAGGGGTCCCAAAGACAAAGGTAGCTTCAGGAGCCCAGTATCATCTATGGTAGAATATGATCCTTGTGACTTTCTACATAAATA